AATATGAAGCCACTAAGTTGGTTGAGTCTGGGGAGTCTCAAGATGAGATGAAGAGGTCTGAAATGAATTATAGAACATTATAGAACAGGTGTTTTGAATAGCCCAGTGGAAGGCGCAGACAGATCCAGAGTAGGGAACAGGATATGGTTCAGGTAGGTGGGAATGAAGGAGAATACAGCTGGGATTGAGGATGGGTATTTGTTCATTAGCAGTCAGAAGGTCGATATCATTAGGACAGGGAGGGTGGGAGGAGGTGGAAGCATGTTAACTACTGGGGAGTAAGTCCAGGCAGCCTATCAGAGGATGAGAGGAGATCTGCTGATGAAGGTAGGTGATTAAAAGATATAAGGTCGTCCTGGGCCGAGGCCCTCAAAGTCTTCCTCATTTGCTTGGCCTCATTGCAGGCATTGTTGCTGGTTCCTCAGAACTTCCAGAAGCCTGGCTTTTAATAGGTACAAGCAACACCTGGTGGTGCTCTATCCCAGGGATCACCAGGATCCTAATGACAGGGCAAAGGATGGTGAGTTGTAGGGCAAATGAATGGGCAAGAGGCAGTGACAGAGAGGTAGATGGAAGGAATTTTGCAAATACAGTCAGTCTAGGTAGGTGGTGCAGTAGATAGAGATTTGGACCTAGAATCAGGAAGATCTGAGTTCAAATCCAGCCTTAACTGACTCTGTCACCCTGGACAAATCACTTAACAATTGTCTGCCTCAGTTTCCTCATGTGTAAAATGGGAACAATAAAAGCAAGAGTGCATAAATACACACACACACACACACACACACACAGGACCTCCCAGGCTTGTTATGAGGACAAGATGAGATATCTGTAAAAGCATTTTTATAAACCTTAAAGAACTATATAAAATGCTCTGATGATGCTTGATAAGGATAGCTTACTCTCATTTTAGCAATGCTTTCAATAAAGTATATCATACTTTTCTAGTGGAGAATACAGAGATATGTGAACCAGCCAGTGAATTCGGAACACTCAGAAGTTGTTGGATCACCAGACAGAGAGTATTCATTAATGGCTCCATGTTTATGGGCAGAAGGTTTTTAGTAGAAGATCACAGGGATCTGTGCTTGGTTCTGTAGTGTTTAACATTTTTTATCAGTGACTTGGGTGAAGGCGTGCACGGCATGGTCACTAAATTTGTAAATGACAGAAAGCTGGGGGGAAAACTAACACATGAATGACAAAATTAGGTGGCAGAAGATCTTAACAGATTTAAAGGATTGGCCTGTATGTATAAAGTGAAATTCAGTAGGGATGAGGATGAAAATCTTTGTATAACATCTCTGATAAGGCTATCAGAAGTATATAGGGAATTAACAAAAATATATGAGGGCTAAAGCCGTCCCCCAGAGGATAGTAAAAGGATGTGAATGAGAGGTTTATTAAAAAAATTGCAAACTATTATTAAAAAGCACATAAACAATTGTTCTTAATCATTTAACATAAGAGCAAATCATAACAACTTTAAGGTTTCACCTCACACAGTAAATCGGCAAACATACCAAAAGATGGGGACAGTCATGGTTGGAAGGGTTGTAGAAAAACAGGCACACTGGTGCAGTGTTGATGGAGCTATGAATTGGTCTAGCCATTCTGGAGAACAATTTGGAGTTATGTGAAAAAAGTGACTGAAGTTTCCATACCCTTTGACCCATACATCCAGCTCCTAAGTACATACCTCAAGGAGGCCAAAGATAGAAAAGTTCCATGAGCACAAGAATATTTATAAATAGCAGCACTTTTCATAATAGCAAACAATTGAAAACAATGTAGATGTCCACAGATTGGATAATCCTAAACAGATTATGGACATTGAATATTAATTTGGCCAAATTGTTTCTAGAGAGACAGACCTCAATTCTGCAAATACAAATAAAACACAGTGCATCGACGGAATCTAATTTCTTAAAATGAGGCTTATCGATGCCTTTTGATTATATATCACAGTTATTTCTGTAAATATCTTGTTTGAAACTTACTTCACACCAAAGCAAATAAACAAAAGCATCAGATTCGGTGCTCTGACAGTATCCAACAGTCTGTCTCTACAACCTTCTGCCAATGGGCTCTCTTTTTCTATGAAGAAATTCTGAGGTCTTCTTTGGAGGAATAAAGAGCAGAATGGCTGAAGCCAAGAACCTATCCAAAGAAGCTGATGAGAGGCTATTTCAGTTACAGGGAAGAACAAAGGGAAATCTCAGAGTTTAGAGGAGAGGAAAGAGGTTATAACCCTTTCTGACTGGGCGTATGCATATCCTCAGTGAACTGAATGGGAATGAAAAGATTTTCTCACCTGAACACACACACACACACACACACACACACACACACACACACACACACACAGAGTCCACAGTCATTCAACCCTGTGGGTAGTATAAACATTGCCACGCTTTCACTGCCAGGGTAAGAGCCTTCTCCAATCCTCCTGATCTATATCTGGCCACTGGACCCAGATGGCTCTGGAGCAGAAAGTGAGGCTGGTGACCTTGCACAGCCCTCCCTCCCTCTAATCAAAGTCAATTGCAATCATGTCATCATCTCCCTGATGTCATGATCCTCTTCGAAAACGGAGGACAAATACAAGAGCTCTGGTAAAGTTTATTTTCTCTGTGCTTTGGGAGAACTTGTGGGGGCAGAAAAACCTCCACCTGCCAATCCAGAACAGTACATTCCTTTGGCCCTTCAACAGTCTTCTTATATTTAATTTTGAAGAGAAAATTACTTCATGCAATGTAACTTCCCCAAAAATCCATTTATTAAAAAACAAAACCCCCATGTATGTGTGTCTCAGGTTCAGTTTTCATCTAGAAAAATCGCAAAACTTGAACAGTAACACTTTAAAATTCAGTGTTGGCTCAAAAAAAAAGTTACCTTTTTTCTTAGAAAGGCTGTTCAGTGACAAGATATACCTTGCACAAGTACAACTGGGGGAGAATTTTTAACTAAACGAGGAGTAGAGGTGAACCTAGGAAATAAATTAAATAAACATAAAGTTGAAACATTTTTGCACAAATACAATTAGTGTAGCTAGAATTCAAAAAGATGCAGTAAGTTGGGAAAAATCATTACAGGAAGTATCTCTGATAAAAGTCTAATATCTAAGATATATTGGGTATTGATACAAATCTATAAGAATAACAGCCACATTCCCCAATACATAAGGAATTAAAGGATATGAACAGGGCAATTTTCAAAAGAATAAATACTCTCTGTCAACAATATTGAAGAATGCTCCTGAAGCACTAATTATAAGAGAAATACAATTTAAAACTGAGGCGTCACCTCACACTCAGGTGGTAGCACTGTGAGGAGAGAGAAAGGGACAGATAAAAGAGATGTAGTGGAGGTAGAATGAACAAGACTTGGTAATTGAATAAATATATAGGCAAGGGAGAATGAGAAATGGAGATTTACACTGAGATTGTAAATGTGTGTGGCTTCCTCAGAAACAGAAGTTTGAGAGAGGAGTGCGTTTGCAAGAAAAGATAAGAGTGAGTTCTGTTTTGGGCATGTTGAATGTGAGATGTCTCTCAGCATCTGAGATCCAGTTTGAAATGGCATCAGGTAGTTGGTGATGTGGGAGAGACTGGGGTTGGATCTATGAATCTAATGAGTCATCTCTATAGAGAAGATAAATAAAGCCATGGATGAGGAACCTCTAGAAAAAAAGAGGAGAGAAGCCCAGGACAGAGCCTTTCAGAACAACCGTATTTAGGAGATGTGATATGGATAATGATCCAGCAAAAAAAAAGAGGAGCCATCAGACTGGTAGAAAGGCAACCAGTAAAGTGGAGTGTCACCAAATCCCAGAGAGGAGAAAGGATACAGAAAGTGGCCAACAGTGTCATCTGCAGCAGAAAGGTCACGTACTGAGGACAACTGAGAGAAATAAGAGATAGGAAAAAAATAAAAATAAAGAAGTAAGAGACAGGGTAAGGAAACGAAGGCAGGTAAGTATAGGTGATGTTCTAAGAGAGTGACTGGAAAGTAGACAGGATGTAGAATTGCTTGAGGGGAATGCTGTCTCAGGTTTTTAAAGATGAGGGACACCTGGACATGTTTGAAGTCAACATGGAAGAAGCCATTAGAATAAAGATAAGTAGAGTGGGGTCAAAATGATGAATGGAATAAGAAAGAGGGAAGTAGCAGGAGAAAGAAGTTTTCACCTTGCCAGATGGTAACTCTAAATTGCAGGAATAAAAAAAGAGCGGGAACTCAGATTTTGCCTGCTATAGAATGATCAGGGCCCCTACTCTCCAAGGTCCTACGATAACTGAGCATGGAGTTGGAGTGAGTGATGATTACTCCAAATTCTAGAGAATTGGAATGGAAAGTGCTATTCTGGTGTCTGAGGCTGTTAGAAGTGGATTTTTGGGTCCTCAAGACACAATTAGTGTCAGCTCTGTAGCCTCATCCCAATAGGAGATGAGCCACAGGGAAAAGACAACCTGCCCTCAGGGCGAACACTGATTTCCTAATCTCTGAGTCATTGGAAGTACAGGATTTGGAGTGTCTCTGGTGACCTGCAGTTTAGGAGCCTGGATGAATGTGAGACCCTTTTCTGAGGCTACACAGTCTAAATTAGAACTCATGTCTCCTGATTTATAGTCCTCTCTTCTTTTTTACTACATCATTCAAAGTGAACTATTGGATTGTTTTGGGGTTGTATGTTTTTAATCCTGGAGAGAAATGATCAGCTATGTTGTAAAGTCATCTTCCCTGCCTCCAAATCCATGTATCACTTCATACTGCTCAGTGAGGACACATGTTGATTTGGGCCATCGCTGTTGTTATTAAAGATACATATGATGCTGCAAACTCCTTCTGGAGGGCAGATGTCTTATACATTTTGCTCTTTCCCAGTTGTCCTTGTCCTTCCTCTGTAGCTAGCAAGTGTTAGGCATCTAGTAGACTGTAATAAGTATTTGTTGAATGAATGAATGAATAACCCTTCCTCGTCCTGTTTTTGTCCATAGGTGATTATTTTGGAATCTTGAAGGAAGCAAGAGTGACAACATTTCCATTTAGTGTCTTGGACAATCCTATGTACTGGGGGAGCACAGCCAACTACTTGGGGTGGTCAATCATGTAAGTATAAGTCTATACTTAATCTTTTCACTGTAATTATGAATTATGTAATTCACTATAAATATGTAATCAGCTTACAATAAGATACCAAACTATTGTTAATGATACTATCATTTAAAATCTGTTGTCAATAGTTAGTAATCCAACAATAATCTTCTTAAGGGAAGAAAACATGATTTATTCAGAATTTGAAACCTAAAACAGACCTTAAAGAACACATTCTTCTTTTTTTTTAAGGACACATTCTAATTCTGTTATTTTACAAATGAGAAAATTGAGATCCAGAGAAAGGGCATGACTTACCTAGGGTCACTTGGTTAGTAATAATAGAGAAGGGACTAAACTCAAGTCTATAATTCCCAATCTACTGTTTTTTCTGCTTTTGTTCTATTCTTTTCCACGCTTCTTAGTTCTCTTCACTGGGAGATGCTCAGTAAACATTTCTTGATTGATTTCAGCTACATGAAATCAGTCATGACATTTTGATCTTTTCAAGAGGGGATCCAGGGCAGCCAGGTGGCACAGTGGATAGAGTACCAGCCCTGGAATCAGGAGCACCTAAGTTCAAATTCAGCCTCAGACACTTACTAACTTCTTGACCCTGGGCAAGTCACTTAATCCTGATAGCCTCCAGAAAAAGAAAAAAATTAAGAAGGAATCCCTGATAAATGCTGGCATGGTGGTCACCCAGACAGATCTCGTGTTGACCCACGTGGGAAGCCCCTATGGCACTGATATTAAGCATTATCATGGAGAGGTGAGGAGGTTATTTTTATAGGCAAGTTCATCATTTTTCCTATAGTGGGGGAAAAAAATCAGCAACTGCTCAATTACTTTGAGTGTCACAGTGGTCTTGAGGACAGGACTGTGAATCAAGGGACCTGGCTTCAAAGCTAACTCAATGACATCAGGCAAATCACTTCATATTTTTCCTCCCCTGTAAAATGAGGAAGACAAACAAGATGATTTCTTCAGGCCTCTTTCAGCCATAATGTTCTCTGATTTTCTCTTGATGGCTTTTTTTTTTAAGTGAGGCGATTGGGGTTAAGTGACTTCCCAGAGGCACACAGCTAGTGAGTGTTGTGTGTCTGAGGATGGATTTGAACTCAAGTCCTCCAGGGCCGGTGCTCCATTCACTGCGCCACCTAGCTGCCCCTTCTGATTTTCTCTTGACCAAGGAAGATGGTGTTGACTCCCAGCTGGGCAGGTTGGACTCAATTGATTGTAGCAGACATTTATATGGTGTTTTACATAGATGTTGTCATTTGAACATCACAACAACCCTGTAAATACTATAGCTATTATATCCCTATTTTACAGATGAGGAGACTGAGGACCATAGAGTTAATATGACTTAGTAATACATACATCCAGAAGCAGATTCTTAACCCAGGTTTTCCTGTGTCTAGCACTCTATCTGTTATGCCAAATTGCCCTAGATGTCATTTGCCTGACTGATAGTAGGTGCTTAATAATGCATGTTAATTGATTGACTCCTTTGTTCAGACACTGAGCTCAGTTAGAAAAGGACTGGGTCCATCAGCACCTAGCAGCCCCAGATAGGCAGCCTTTGTACACTTATTTATAGGGCTTTTGCTCTACCCTAGATCCTGGGTATGTTTAGGAGACGGCTAATGACCCTTGTAAAATCATGTCAGCTACAACACAGCAGCATAGGTATTAGCAACAATTTCAGTCTTAAGGTTGAAAACATGGGGGAGGGGAGAGGGAGGTTTGGAGAACTGAGAAAGGAAACAGATTCCAGCCCAAGACATCTGGGATTCTGGCAGCCTCCAGGCACAGAAAGCCAATAGCTTGTGTGAAAGAAATTTTCATGTATTAGAAGCTGAGTCTACATATCATTCATTCGTGGAGAAAATAAAAATTTATGGCTATTGGGAAATGTGTTCTGAGCTACTTCCAGCTCAGTGAGAAAAAATAAAGCTTCCTGCAGAAACCAGAAAGCTTTTTTCACTGTTAATGGGGGGGAAATCCTCATGGGGCCCTTGGAGATTATAACTTTGTATCAGCCAGGGAGTGCTTAAGCAACCCAGATCTTCAGGTGAGCTGCCAAGTAAGCCTTAGGGACTGTCAGGAGAATGAGTACTATTTACTGTTCTATGAGGGAAACGCAGAGCTGCTACTGTCATGAAGCTGGGTGTGTGTGTGTGTGTGTGTGTGTGTGTGTGTGTGTGTGTGTGTGTGTGTGTTGTGTGTGTGTGTGTGTGTTGGAAAGTGGGGGCCAGGGGGAGGAAGGATTGATTGTGGCCTGTCTAAGAGTCCATTAAAGATGGGCAATGTTTCATGCAGGCCCCAGATTGCTGACCAAGCAGGACTGCTCATAAATCTTCATTGAAGGCCATCTGTCTCAGCCCCTGGTGCCCTTCCTCTGTGTGGCTTCACAGAAAAAGCAGGAGTGGGGGAGAGAGGAGGAATTGTCATGGATTTTATTAAAACACAAAGAACACACACAAAGAGTGACCTCTGTTGTAGAAGCTGAGGACCTTGGTTAAGAATCCCAATTGAAACTCTACCATTACTTTCCTCAAAGAATAGAGGGAACTGGAGCAACATAAGAGACCTTAGCATGAACTTTCATAACTTTCACACAAGCAGTGAGACAGGGGAGAAGGCAGAAAGGTATGGTGGGAGTCACTGAAAGGAAGTTTGACTGACTTCACCATTTTTCCAGGCTTTGGTCCCACAGATTTCCTGTAAAAGGCACCAGAAAGCCAGGAGCCTCGACTCAGTGACTTTCCCTCCAGCTCCAAGTCTGAGTTTCCTCATCTTATATAACAGGAATAAAACTAGAGATGACTGATACTCTCATGACCCCTGGATAGATGCAGAAAAGCCATCTTCTCAGCCTTCCATTTGACACGCACATGTTGGAGTGAGATACTCCATCAGAAAGGGATGTGGAAAATTAAACCATTTGGATAAATAATCTGTATCTTTCAGGCATTGAATTAAACTGAAGCAAATCATAGCCAAAAACTTGGAGCCAAGTAGGCTAACATGCTAAACTCTAAAAATTGTCATTGTTGATTTTTAACTAAACCCCAGACTGAATCAAAGTTTCTTTAAGTTGTTGTTGTTCTCAATTCTTTTCTTCTTGTTTCTAAGAAATTCAGTAAACTAGTTCGAACTAAAATCAGAATCAGTGGACTAAAATTAAAATGTAAGAACCTCAAGATCATCTCCCTTTTACTCCAGTTAGAGGCAACATAATGTAGTGGATAAGTGAGCCAGCTTAGAAGCCAGGGAGTCCTGGGTTCAAGTTTTGCCTCTGAAATACTGGCTATGTGACCCTCAGTGAGTCATTTGATGTCTTAAGGGTTACAGGCCAGTGGCGTCAAACTCAAATAGAAGTGGATCCTTGCCATCCCAGTTACATTTTAATCTGGTTTTGGCCACACTGAGGAGTTTTGCAGCACCCACCCACTCACCCATCCTGAGTTTGATTCAAGGCAACTTTCCCTAAGATCACGTGGTTAGTTAGCATTCACTCTGAGTTAAGAATCCACAGCTTTGCCCTTCTGCCACATGGCCCATTCCCCAGACTGGGACAAAATCTTTGAATTGATCTGTGCGTCTGATGTATGATATACACCTGGTTACGTTGGTTTTCGGGATCCTTTAAAAACAAGAAGACTGATCACCACACTTTTTTTTAAGAGACTGATGTCCCTATACTGCCTCCCAGGGAACCTTACAACATCGGTTTTACTAAAGATAAAGATCTTTACTAAGATGCCCTCCCTCTTTACCTCATCCCATTAGAATCCCTCTCTTCCTTCATGATAGCTCAGTCATCACTTTCTATGTGAAACCTTTCTTGATTTCTCCCAACCACTATATATACATATGTATGTATGTATGTATGTCACATAAGGCCCCTCCCACACACACATATAGTGTACCTCCCAAACTACCTTGTATTTATTTGTATATTTATTCTGTATATATTTATAAAGGTACTTGTAGGGATTGTTTCATTCCTTGTATTTTTATCCCCGCAGTCCAGTGCTGCCAGGTAATAGGCTTTCAATAAATGCTTTTTTAAAAAAAACAAAAAGTCCTCCTACCAATTAAGAACTATTATTAGGAGAACCAAAGAGAGGCTCCCTTTGGATACTTTGAGCTTCTTGGAAGAAAGGTGAACCCAAGGTATTCATTATGCGATTGTCCAGGATCAAGAGAAGGCTTGGGACCATCATGCTGATTTTATAAGCTGTTCTATTGAGATCCAAAGAGCACTACAGTGCCACAAGTCACAAAGCCAGTGAATGTCACTAGGAAGTCTTGCCTATAAAACGTGCTGGTTTTCATATTTAAAACAAAACAAGACAAAAACCACCACTTGTACCCTTAACCCTGGGAAAGGAGTGCCATTACGGAATCAGCATGTAATTAAAAGGGAAACACAAGGATGTCATTTATTTAGACTTTCAACAAGGTTGCTAATTTAAGCTTTTTTTTTCTTTTTCATTGAATGTTTTATTATTAATAAGGAAATAGCTTAGTGACCAGAAGTAGGGACCAATGGATACTTCTCTGGGCACTGAAGTATAAACAGTAGGATCCCTATTGCTGCTAAGTGTGTTTCTTATAAATGACCTAGGAGAGAGGGTAGTTATGACACAAGAAAAGGATTTAGGAGTCACTGCCTGCTGTTCCCCAAAGTATCAACCCCAAAGCTTTTATCAGTCGACGCGTATTTGTGAATTTCCTATCAGGCACTGGTGATACAAAAACAGTCCCCGTCATCAGAAAACTTGGGGGACAACATGAACACATATAAGGTACACAAAATATACAAAATAAATACAAGGTAATTTTGGCAAGAGGTTCTTAAAGCTGGGGCCAGGGAAGGCAGCCGCAGCATAGAAGGGAGATTGGGAAAAGCCTCATAGAAATCAGCTTTTGAGCTGAACCTTGAAAGAAACTAGGGATTCTGAGAAGCACAAGTTAGAAAGGGGTGCATAAATTTGTGTGAAGACATAGATTATGGAAGAAATGTCCACCAAGAAGGGTACCTAACTATGAGATACCTATCCCAGAAAATTCGATACAGTTTTGGGCATTTTGCCTCAAAGGAGAAAGAACTGGAGAGAGGGAATAGAAGTAATCAAAAGGTTGGGTCTTTCCTTATGAAGAAAGACAAAGGCTTATTCAGCCTGGAAACATAAAGCAGATATGATGAAGAAATTTTGCAATAGGGCTTTAAGAACTGATTGACATTCTGGAATTTATAGGTCAGAGGGACAAGCATTCCCTCTTAGCCCTAAGAAGAGATTTGGATTATCAGAGTCTTTGAACAGGGAGGTGGACTTGAGTCATGCTGAGGAGATTTTGAAAATTCCTGTTTTAAAAAACAAAAACCAGAACAGGCTGCAAGAGGGCATCTGCCAGGTTTTTTATAGAAGGAATTCCTCTTTGGATGCAAAGCTTGGACCAGGTGACCTATAAAGCCCCTTCTAAGATTCTTTGACTGAATGATAGAAAGAATGTAGTGTTGTGCAATTGTAAGGATTATTATTATAGAAAAGAATCTTATTTGTAAGCAGCCCCCTCTCTGTTCTCTGGGACATACCTGTGTACAGTATAGTGGAGGAGTGGAAAGTGAGAAGTGGGGCAGGGAACGGCCCCAGTAAAGAGCCATACATCTATTGACATAAGAGCCTCCATTGTCTCAGAAAGATAATCAACTCCGCTCTTTACATGAACAGGTCCTCATCTTATTTTCTCCCTTGCTAGTAATTAGAAGCTGTGAATCCAGGGACAATGTCTTATTTTTTCTTGTCACTCTCCCGTGTCTCCCAGTGCCCTTGGTCACCTACCCAAACCCTTCTTGAATGACATTGAAAATCCTGTTAGAACTCCCCTTGACTGCTACTCTCATCTCCAAAATTTGTTTTAATTAAAAAACCTGATGAGGCACCATACTGGGTGGACATGGAGGATATTCTCTTGGCCCTTTCCTCATCACTGACCTAAAAGGGAGTTTGTGAGAGATTAAAAAATTGTGTACCAGCTCCAATATAGAACTTGTGTTACAAGACTATGCTGCCCAATGCCAAAACTAAGCAGATATTGAGAGTTTCTACTGATTACAGCCTATTAACTTTGAAGCTGGCAGTCCAGAGACCTCCCTCCTTCAGTTGATCCAAAACCATTAGCCATTAACTGTTAATCTGTAAGAACTAGCTTATTCCAGCCTGAGAATCAGAAGGTAACTATAGAAATAAATTGGGGAAACAGTATGACGGCGGATATTTCTAGAAACAGGAAGCAGATGTGGCTATGACTCCTCAGCCTTTGTCATGAAGGAGCTGTTCCTTTTCATTAGCCTTAGAAGTCAGAAGTAAGTCATGTCCATGATAAAATACTTTGGATGAAGAGATGGGATTTTCATTCCAACTTGCACTCAGCCATGCATATGGGCCTTTCTGCTTAGATAGATGATGAAGAGCTTCTCATTTCCCTGCCCTCTCCCATACCAAGGGCAGAGCCAAACCTACCGTGGCAATTTTAGGGTGGGGGAGAAGGAATCACAGAGAGCTCCTAAGTCCCTAAACTCCACATTCTTATTTAGCCAAGAAATCAGAACTTAGAACATAGAGGCACAGGTGAGGAGAGAGTACGACAATTCACTCGCCACCCAGAGGCCAGTGTATTTTCTAGGCACTAGATCTCTTGAGCCGTATGGAAAATTCAAGTATGGATAGCTGTAGTGCACAGGGAAATCTCATATGCATTCATGTCACTGCTTTTCCTCTAAGAGGAACAGTACTAGATTTGGGGATTAAGGAGACTTTGGATAGTAGTATGGTTCAGTGGATGGAGCACCAACTTTAGAGCCAGAGGACCTGAGTTCAAATCCTTCCTCTGTGTGACCTTGCTAGGTCACTAAACCTCTTTGGGTCTTGATGTCTTCACCTGTAAAATGAGGGGGGTTGGAGTAGATGGTCTCTAAGGTCCCGTCCAGCTCTTAATCTATGATCCTATGGTCCAGTGATCAATGGACACTGAAGTTCATAATAATAATGGTATGTTAGAACTTCCATATAATACTTACATACTATCAGTCAGAATTCTGCTTAAGATGGATCTGTCTTCTATGCCCGGGGGCTTCATTCCTAAATGAGAGGTCCTTGTTAGGAGGCAGTTTCCCCCTGTGTAAGGTGGTCCCATGGCAAGAACCCTGAAAAAAGCATTATAGGAAGATTCCTTCAGAGGGCTTATAGGGTGTCACATGAAATGACTCCAAGCTAAGGCCAGGCAGGCCCAATGGCATGTTCCAGGTTTGAGCTAAGGCCTTCAGTATAAGCTTTCTCCTAAACTAAGTCCATTCTTGCATAAGGCATACAAAAACACCTAAAGGGAGCCTGGCAGTCCCACTGGACAGTAATTAGATCATGATGCTCATGTAAAGAGTAGCATATAGTTGATTTGACTCTCTACTATGAACTTTCAAGGTTTGGTGTCTGGCCATTTACTTTCATTAGCTTTTCTGTTTCTTTCTCTCCAACTAGACTGTAAGTGTCCCAGCACAAGGATACATTGCTCTTCTCTTTTGTCTATACTCGCTCAACAAAACCCAATACACGGTTCCTATGGTCTCTTCACACAGGAAGTATGAGATAGGTAGTGACAGGTTTGGGGATGGTAATTTCTACAAACAACTTTGTTAAGAATCCAGCTCTTCCCACATACCTCTCTTCTAGCTCCAAGTACCCACAGCATCTTAAAATGTTAGCTCCAGAAAGCATTTCATTGATTTTTCTTATCTAACTTCCTCATATTACAGAGAAATAAACTGAAGGGAACATGACCTGGTCAAAGGAAAATAGCAGTTTAATATCAGAGACGACTCTAGAAGAGTCCAGGTCTCCTGACTTCCAATCCAATTCTCTGTCCCCTGTATCATCTTTGAAGGGCTTGAAAATGGAAACTAGAAAATTTCATTACCCTACCCCAATTATATCAGCTCAACTAGAAAAAAATCTCCAGAATTAGAGCAGAGGGTACAGTGGGATATTGTTTCCAAAAAGAGCTGTTTTGATTCATACTGATTAAATGGACGGTGGGCTAGGGTTGGCATCAGAAAGACCTGGGTTTGTTTACCCTCTCAAGAACTATCATCTACTACAGTGCTGCTGTTCTACTTTGATAGAGGAACTTTCTCTACCAGTGGAATCATACATCTGAACCACCATCCCTACCCCCACCCCAAATTAGATGTCCTGATCAGTGCTAGAAAGGTAGCCAACTCATAGGGTTGTAGAGCCACAGAAGGCCAGAGCTGGAAAGGACCTTTGAGATGAAATCATCAGCTGCAATCCTCTCTTTTCTTAGAGAAGAAAGAAAAAGGAGTCCTAGTGAGTAGAGGGTATGAGGGGATGACTTGCCTGAAGTCAAGTCAACCTCCTCATCTGTAATATGAGAATAATAACAATAGTACCTACCTTCAAGTGACATTATATGTGTGTGGAGAGGGTATGCATACATAAAATGCTGTGTAAATGTCAGTTCTTACTGTGATTATAGAGAGATCATCATCTTTAATCAATGGAGTCCAGGCAGAAATGGTCCTGGGACAAGTCACCATCCTGCTATCCAATTCTCTTATATGAAATGTTCTATGGACAGTTGCACAGGTGGATTAAAAAGCTGCTTTTTTATTTGAATAAAAGTGTTAGCGTGAAAGCTTATCGTCAGTAGGCTTGATATAACTCAAGGAGCAAACCAGATGACAGGGACAACGTGTGCCTCATGCAGCTCCCATGGGATTTTGATTTCTTCTCAAAAGTGTGACAGCTTTTTGTTCCTCCCCCCAGCTCAGGGACTGAGTAGTTGGTAGCATATTGTCTGTCACTGTTGTGTCCAGGCAATGGCAGACAACACTTCAGCCTGTGATGGTGCACTGTTTTCACCACTGGTTGAATTTTCAAAGATATTTGGAGTATGAGGACTTGTCATTTTCAGTCCCTGACAAATAATATTAGCCACCAAGTCATGGCTGGTTAGCTAGCCATTACGTACTAAATTTGCACAGGTGGCTTTGATGAGTGGTCACCCATTTCCTTGTATAATTTATTGTTATTATTATTTATTTTATTATTATTATTGTTATTATTATATTATTGTTAATAGTAGAACCAGTACCACCACCTTGATGATAGTGTTCTCACCCTTCCAACAACTTATCATATAGGTGTGTATACTTTGTGTGCCATGAAACACCTGAACTCTCTATGGAATGGAGGCAGAAACCTAGAAATAAGCAAGGACAGAAATCTGCCAGATGATAAGAGCACCTGCCTCTCAGAGTTGAGGCTCAAATGAGTTAACATGTATAGTGTGTTGCTGATCTTAAAACGCAATATAAACACTAGCTATTAAGAGTACGTGTTTGTTTGGTATGCCTTATCAAGGAATGGTTATTTAGTATGTTCACTAACTGGGGCTCTTTTCCCTTCTTCTGACTTTATTATCTCCAGTTCTTCCTTTGGGCTCCTGCTTGATACTTGGGGGGCAGTAATGGGCTGAGGTAAAGATTAAATGTTTCTAGGGGCAGTGAGGTGGTTTGGCGATTATCCCACAAACACTACCACAGCCACACTTTGTACCCAGGAGCCCTTGTCTGACTCCTGTCTGTGGCAGCCTAGTGCCTTTGTTCTCAGGTATTTGCTAATCCCAGCTCCTGCTGGATTGATTTAGACATAAGTGCTTTGGGGACAGAGAGGAAGGTGAGATGCAGGGGAAAGTCTCTTGGTGTTCCCTAGTTAGAGCCACTGAAAAACAATGCATTCTCCCAGCCAGTGGAAAACACAGAGTTCTTAACCTTCAGTCTCTGAACATATTTTGATAACTTTTTCTCAATGTGATTGGTTTCCTTTGTAATCTCATGGATTTTAGTTTATGCAATGTTCTGAGGTGTCTATAAGCTTCATCAAACTGCTAAAAGATCTGACTCAAAAGAAATTTAAGAACTGACACCGAGGATTCCTTGCCAACATATAAGTACATATTCTAGCACCTATAGCTTGTGTGGCACCCTTCAGGCACGCGTGCTCACACTGTCTCTCTCTCTCTCTCTCTCTCTGCTCTGTTACGCTGAGGGGTATAGAGTTTTCTGATGTCACTAGAATTGAGCCCCTATTCCTGTGTCTACTCAATATCCTTACCCATGATTAGCTCCCTAATATCATCTTACCAATTAACATCAATTAGCTTTTACAAGGGAATATTTACTTCAGAAATATAGCAGGAACCAAATTATAAAAACATTTCCTCAAACCAGGGCATACTCTCCTCTCTATCATCTCAGTCCCTAGAGAGAATGAAATCAGAATTAAAGCTGGTGCTATAAAAGCACTCACCCTACCAAATTCACTTCCAAATGTTGGTCTTACTGGTTAATGAATTCACTGCCTTGCTTGCGGGATACAGCTTCTCAGTAGCCAGGTCAATTCCCTGCTGGCCTGGATCCCATAGGTTGCTCCTTGGTGGCATCTCACCAGCTTGGCCACAGCAGTGTATGCTTTGGACTCCTGGTAGCTCTTCAAACCTTTGACCATACAACAAGGTCCTGTACCAAAGGAGAGAAGATACATTGAGGAAATGACCCCATCCCAGACACAGGCTCACCTAACAGGCCAGGTGCTGCCGAGCCAATCCAGGGCAGGAATAAAACCCCTTACCAGCCCTCCAAAGCTCAGAAAGTTGTCTTTTCTTACCCCTCATGACCAATAGGAAAGAGAGTTTTGGCCTGTTGGTACCTTGTGTATGCACACTTGTTTCTGGCTCAGTGGAAAAATCAAAGGCAGAGCCCTCCATTCTATGCATTCCACACTTTCAGAAGCAGACTCCAGCCCATGTGAAAAAGTGGAAAGCCAGGCTCCTCCCTTGCATGTTACAGCGCACACACTTCCATAAGCAGATTCACTAAGCATAGACATGGTCCCCTGCTCTTAGGACTTGGGCTTTCATTGGTCTGTCCCCTATTCCATAAAGAGCACTGGAGCTAGAAGACCTAGGTACTAGTCTGCACCCTGTCACTTACTAATTGTGTCTTTCTGAGCTTCTGTTACATCATAATTGAAACTGTAGGTTTGACCATGTGAGTCAATAAATTCCAATAGTGCCCTATTATGTCTAGGACCAAATTTAAACTCCACTTTTTGACATTTAAATCTGATCCCTTCCTGATTTTCAGTCTTCTTTCACATTGCTCCTATCTACTCACTACAGTCCAGCCACACTGGTCTGCCTAGTTCTAGAAACCATGTTGTATGGCTTTGATGATAAAATGGCCCCTTAAGTTCTGTACTTTACATTTTCACATGGGACTCAAGGCTATAGGATTCCACATCCCCAATACATCTCTCCCAAATAAAGGTGAAATTACAGCTTTTGCTCATAACTGAATCTAGGAATCACCATACCCAAGCATGGCCTGATGCCTGGGAGGGTGTTCTTCAGCTAAGATTAGAGACACACACACACACACACACACACACACACACACACACACATACATGTATATATACCTAACTCACCTACCTTCATATATATGTAATACACATGTTTTTACATATATTCATCTATACATACCTGTGTTGTATGTATGTATGTATACACATCTTTTTGTGTTTGAGGATCAGATGAGATCATGAATGTGGAAGCACTTTGAAAAGTTCAAAGCTCATACAGAAGGAGCAAAAATGGGCTTTGGCCTCTAAGAGCTTTCTATCTAGTTAGGGTAACAATACTAGCACACAAGAAGGATTGAATAGCAGCACAAAACAACCACCTGAGAACTATCAGAAGACAATCTATGAGAAACAACCCTTATCTCTGTTCTTACTAACCATACGGTCTGGCTATTCCTTTTCATACCCTCCTCCCCCCAAACCCCAGAAGGAACCTCCTACCAACTTAGTTACCAGCTCTTTATCTCAGATAGGATGGCACTCAGAAGATCTGGGCCAACCCTAGTCTTCTCACCCTTTCCTGCCTAGAGGTAGCTAGGATAGCATGGATAGGACTGGATTTGGAGTCAAGAAGACCTGAGTTCAGATGTGGCCTTAGATACTTATTAGCTGTGTGATCTTGGGACACGTCACCTCTCTGCTGCTTGCCTCAGCTTCCTCATCTATAAAAATAAAGGCCAGAATAGCACCTACCTCACACGGTTGTTGTGAAGATGAAATGAGATACAGGTAAAGCACTTTGCAACCCTTAAAAGCTTTCTTCTATGCTAGCATTATTATTATTGTCTATGATGATTTATTATCAGCCTGAGGGGTCATCTTTAGTAGAGAGTTCTAGGAATTTGCCGTGTTCTGTTCTGAATTTTTATCAGTTACTTGGAAGAAGTTACAGATGGAACATGCATCAAATTTGTAGATGACACAAAGGTGGGAGGAAGAGATATCACAGTGAACCACAGAGATAGGTCCCAAAAAGATTTCAACACACTAGAATGCTGAGTCAAGACTAATGTAGCTTAGATAATGTAACTTGTGAAAACCAAGCCCCTGAAATAAGGGATCAGGTTCACTTTAGGAGCCTCACTCATTATTCCACAAGTATAGAACATTGCATATAAATCTCTTCAATGTGTTACTTAGCTAAATCAACTGAATTTTCTTTCTTTTCTATTTATCTTAAAAAATATTTTAAAAATATTATAAGAGGTAGCTAATGAATTGATACTTCTCTATGTGTGAGGCACAATGTGAGATTGAGCAAGTTCAGGGTGGTTCAGTCATCCATGGAATAAACACAGTCTAGCAAGGGAGGATAATAATACCTCACATTTCTATTCTATGTTAAGATTTAGTGGTTTTCTTGCAACCTGTAGCCTATCTGCCTCTCGTTGACCAATAACCAAAAGTTGTCTATGATTCACCTAGAGAAGGGGTGAACCTCCCACCCCTGAGCCTGAGACCCCCGTCGTTGTTTTGGAAACCTTATAAGTATTATGAATGAAAGGAAGTTGCCTTGGAGACAAGCTTGGATCAGTGGAAATATTACTGGCTATACTGGGGACTTGGGATCTTACCTCTGATACTTATTAGTGCATGACTTTGGACAAGTCAGGTAACCTCTCTGGGCCTTGTGTAAAAGAGGAGTTGGACTGGGTGTGCTCCAAGCATCCTTCCAGCACTAAAGCTGATCGTGTGATCTGCTGCCTCTCAGATCTCCTTCAGTATCAGAGAATGCATACAAACCCTACAGAATATATGAATAAAGTGTGAGGAGGTAGCATAGGGAAGGGAGCCTTGAATTTGGAATCAAAAGACCCAGCTTTTAATCCAGTTCTGCCTCTTGCTTACCATAGTTGTATTACTTCTTCTCTCAGGGGCTGTTTCTTCATTTACAAAATGAAGAAGTTAAACTCAACAATCCTTGAGTTCCCTTCCTCTCAAATTAAGTGATTTTTCAGGGGCAATGAGAACTCCTCAAAGTGAAGAGAGCTACAAAAAGCTAGTTCATTCTCATTTTTAAGTAAATATCTACTGTGAAATCAAAATAATGGAAAAACCAGGAATAGTTCCACATCAAGTCATTCCGCATCTTGATTTGATATTTTGCAGCTCAGCATAAGAAATTAAATGGTAATTTGGGGAGAGTTTTACATGAAGGCCAGCAGACAACACAGAAAAAATTTAGAAAACCAGAAATGCATAAACTATTATGTACAGTATTGTATGATATCAATATATTTTATCTTTTAATACCATAAATATACCCACATTTTACAATAAGGCACTATAAACACCCCATAAAGGAAAAAGAAAAAAATTAAGACTTCTCTGATACAAAGGGAGGACCAAAAAATTTTATGAGGATTTTCCAGATTGGGGGGGGAGGGGACCTCTCTTCTAACAACCTCCCCCTACCTGCCAGCAATGTGGAAGGGATAACTATAATTTGCTTCCTGAAAGGAGGGGTAGATTTAAACATGCTCACATGCTTTAAAAATTATATATACATATATATATAAATCATGGACCTTCAGAATTATAAGGAACCTTAAATGGTCTTAGAGAGCATCTAACCTAATTCCCTTATTTTATAAGTGAGAAAAGTGAGACCCAGAGCAGTGTGACCCATTCAAAGTAATATGGCTAGTTAGAGTCTAGCCAGGGCTAGAACTTTGTGCATGTACTCACTCAAGCCTTCCCCCTCTCTCTTTTCCAGGAATGCCAGCCCTACAGGCCTCCTGCTGACAGTCATTGTGGCCCTCACCTACATGGTCGCCGTTGTGTATGAAGAGTAAGTAGCTTTGTAGCATGGCATCTTCTTTAGCATGGAAAAACATTGATCACAAGGTCTGAGATGGTGGACTGAGGAGGAGGGGAGCAGGAATCAGACAAGACAGAACACTGGCATACTTCTAGTCTCCTGACCAGAGAGGAATGATTGATTCTTCCTCTCATGAGGACAGCAGGGTATTTACTCATGGCCCAGGGAACTGGTCTGACCTTTTGGGTGCCCTCACTAGATTCATTAACTGCTATGTGTATCACCGGTAACTGGATCTGTTACCAGTGAAAAGGATGGTAGAAATGAGGTGGAATTAGTATGTACCTGGGGGCAGGACACAGCTGGCCACACATGTGGCCTCTCTCCTGCCTTTGGGTGAGGGCTTTGTTAATTAGGGATCCTCTGAGGAGTGGAACTCTCCCTGACTCATACCTTGCCTCTCCCTACTACCTTAACCCACATTTCTTTCTCCCATCATTATACCCGCAAACCACTCCATCCAATCTTCCTGTGTGCAGAAAACCTCCGTTACTTCAGTCAGTAAGAACTATGAGGATGCAGGCTGTTTACAAGTCCAATAATCACAGATTCACTCAATAGACTCTGAATCCAGTTCTGAAAGGAGTTCTTACTAGTACTTAAACTCTCTTCCTGTTTCCCATAGTCCCTGACCCTGTCCCAGCAGAGAAGTAGGCAAAGGGAAATGGATTATACTGACCAGGCCCAATGACACCTCGAGAGCTTAGAACCTCATGAAAGGAGGACATCTTTATCCCAGAGTCATTATCAAAAATTTCATTAGAAACTGGGTCAAAAATGGTGATGGATAGAATTCTGGAAATATGTTCTGTCTCACCACACCAAATAGTATGAGGCCCAAGATGCAGAAATGACAAGAAAAGGATAAGTGAAAGGACCCACCACAAAGTAATTCTTATAGAAAAGATAACTGAAGACCAACTCACCAGCGCATCACTCATGCAGCTTCTGTCACTTCTATCCCCATTGTTCCCAACTCCCTTCTCTCCCCACTCCCAGCTTTGGGGTCAACCGTTGTGGCCGTGACAGTTTGGGGCAGAATCTTTCCATTACTTTTGGCAATCTACTAGGGGCCCCCATACCCAGAGTGGGTAGAGGTCCCCTTGCTCACTTCCTTCTCATCATTCCCCCATTACTATCAGTGGGCTGGCCTGGAGCAGCCGTATGACCCAAATCACTAAACAATTTTAACCACCAGACTTTGGTAGAGTGTTTCCTTCTGCCAGGATGAATTAAAGCCCATGAATCAGAATAGCCCCATGGCTCATGGAGAAGGAAAAGGGGCATGGCTAAAGAGGCTACAGGATAAGAAAGTGCTAAAAGAAGACAACCAGGAATATGGCACTGATTAGAATTAATTAATACAGCACAGGAAGAAATGGGGCCAGAAGAGGGAGGGAGAGAAAGAAGGAGGGTAGTACGTAGTACCCTCTACATAGTGTCCTTGGAGACCCTCCTCTGATGCTTTTACAACTAGCCCAGAAAGTCAATTGCAGAGAAAATCATAGCATAGTAAATGCTTAGAATAGGCCTTCCAGCATTGTACAATTGGGGATCTCCCTACAGCAATGTCCCACCTGGTCACCCTCATCCACTAAGGAAAACGGACTTCATCCAACTCTGGTAATTTGAGACAAGACTTTTGGATAGAAAGGGATTGGCAACAAGCAACTTTTCAGCCAGTATAAGGTGGCAAAGTAGACAGTGATGAAGAATGCCAAAAGCTGGCTGAGGAGAGGGAAAAGCTTTCAGAAGAAAAAGTCCAATCTGCAAATGAAGGTGACGAAATCAGCACAAACTCTGCAAGGCCTCAAGAACAGCGAAGGCACAACTCAAGTATGGCTGGAAAGAGCAGTCAGAATTAAGCAAAAAGAGCAGAGAAATAAGAAATCCAAGCCCTTAAGGAAAAAAATTAGCAAGTCTAATCCAACAGTAAATTATCTGTAGAGTATCTGGCAGAATTGGAATGTAAAAATGCAGAGGCAGAAGGAACAAATTTTTGTAAAGAAGATTAGAAGAATATATGAGAACCTCTAGAACACTAAGATATATTAAACAGGAAAAACACAGCACCCTTTCCCCATTATTTTACAGAATTAGAGAAATGTTACTTATAGCAACAAGGCAAAATGGCAGAATTAAAGGTATAAATATACAAAGAGAATACAAGACTATCTCTATTTTCAAAGGCATGATGATGTATCTTTAAAAAAAAAACTGAATCAGTCCCCAAAACCCCTTAAATTGGGATGATTAATAACGACAGCAAGGTAGCAAATAAAATATACAGTAAGACTGGAAAGAACTTTATTTTTTTGGTGAGGCAGTTGGGGTTAAGTGATTTGCTCAAGAACTTTAGTTCTTGGCTCATCTCATCCGCCTCCTCATTTCACAGATAAGAAAACTGGGGAAGTGACTTTTCTAAGAGTGATAAGTAGCAGAGCCAGCACCCCAAATCCAGCTGGCCCTCCATTATACCGTAACTCCTCTTATGCACTGGCTTACCCGGGGAAGCCTTCCCACAGGACATGGGATCTGAGCTGGACCTTGAAAGAAGGTTTATTTAGGATTTCAGTAAATGGAGATGCAGAGAGAGGATATTCCAGGAAAAGGGACCAGCCTGGGCAAAGTTAGGATACACAGAGAGTATCAAGGGAATGGTGATTCCACCGTGTCTGCAGTAGAGGGGAATAATGTGAAATGTGGTTGAAAAGTAGGTTTGGGGGCCATATCATGGAGGGTCATTCTGAAGAATTTGGGCATATTCCCTTAGGCTGTGGGGGATCATTCTGAAACAGATTGCCTGGTAAAGGGAAACCATAATGATTACAGTATTTTGTGTGTAGTCAGAGGGACTGGAGAAGGCAGATAGGACTCCCAAGAAGCCGGATATCCTCAGCCTAAACACCACATCAGACAGGAGAATGAGAGGTGAGATGCCTCTTCTTGCAGGAAGGCATGGACCTATTCTGACATTTTGCCCCAGGCACACAGAATGGAAGCCTCTAGGAATTGTATTCTAATAAAAAGATTTGGATCTGACTAAAGCCAAATATTCCTACAGCATTTGTCCCCTAAATAGGGACAAATCAGAACAAGTGAACAAATACAAAGTGGAGCTTTTGGATCCTAAGGCAAGCAAGCCTTTGGCCTGTGAGCTCATCCATTCTATGAGGAAGCTTAGTCTGCAACTGCAGGGTCTGAGGATGGAAAGGGGTCTGAGAAGGGTGTTCTTGGACAGGGGTTGAGGATGGAAAGGTCTGACTAAGAGCCACGTGGTAAGAAGGCTTTGTTGCCTACTATACTAATAGTATCTGGATAATCTGAGAGCAGTTCTTTGGTGCTGGGAAGAGAGAGAAGATCTTGCTTGAAAAACAATTGGCTAATGGTTTTTTCTCATCTCTGCCCTCTTTTCCCCAACCCTTCCTTTCCCCATACTCTATTCCTCTCCTCCCCCTCCCCCCAAAAAAAACCTCATACAGGCCTTTCACTGAGGAGATCTACCGGCAAAAAGCTCTGAGGTCAAAGAAGAATAAATAAATGTCGGAATTTGTGTTGAAGAATGTGTGGATGGAGTCCAGCTGACTGCATTGTTGGAAGCCAAGTTCTGTCCCCTACTTTATGTGTTGGATAATTTCAAGTGAAATGCTTGATGATCACTTGGGTACTCAGCTCCAGCCCCTTCCTGCCCCTCAGGGGCTGGAGGTGGTAACATAATGTGCCTTTTGAAACTGCCGCCTGGGAGGTGGAGAGGGTCTGCCACTGGGTACATGCCCTCACCTACCCACCCCCAACTTCCCAATTTAATAATAAAGTAGCCTAATTCATATCTGCCTCTCCATTCATCTCTCCATACACTAGTAAAGTAAGAACAGGGATTCTTGGTATCTTGAATAACCCGCAGGCATTCCTTCCATCACTCTGGGATTAGAGGCATGGCTCCCCTGCAGTTTGGATAATCTGTGTAAAATTTTTTTGCCCTCTCTTCATACCAGAGAAGAAGTCTGGATTTTTTCTTTTTCTTTTATGGGGTGTTTACAGTACCTTATTATAAAATTTGGGTTAAGTATTTGATCATAGACTCTGCTGACCTTTGCATGTCTTCTGTGGCTTCCACAAAACTCCCAAAAAATTCCCATTTAATTTCTTGTGATGACCTGAGATATATCAAAACCACAATGGGGAAAAGTCCCAATGTGGAAGGTATAACTGCATATGGTTCTCAAACCAATGGAAGACTGGCTGCATCGTGGGTAGAATAAATTTGGATGCATCTCTTGCACTGCACGAAAAACCTCTGTACCCATTGGCCAAATGATGAGCCCCTTGCAGACAAGTCAGGCCTGTAATAAAGCATGGTTTCGGTATCTGGGCAATGAGGCTAAGAGTCTGGTTGTACTAGACAGGAGAATGAGAGGTGAGATGCCTCTTCTTGCAGGAAGGCATGGACCTATTCTGACATTTTGCCCCAGGCACACAGAATGGAAGCCTCTAGGAATTGTATTCTAATAAAAAGATTTGGATCTGACTAAAGCCAAATATTCCTACAGCATTTTATGCAACACTCCTTGACAGGTAGGTGGGGCAGATGTCATCCCTCCAGTTTGACAGATAAAGATGTTGATGCCCAAAGCTGTTAAGTGTCTGAGGTCACATAGTTATGATACCCAGATGGCACTGGGACCCAGGCCCCCAGATGAGCCCCATGTTCTTCCCATAACATAGGGTGTTTGTGTTTCTTCTTCAAAGTATAGTATTCATCATTCACATGGGCTTGCTCAGGTCCCTCTATTTCTAGGCCATTTGTGCTACTACTGCAAACACGTACCTAACTTGGGGAGAGAGACTGTCATCTCAACTCATTTGTTGAGCCTATAACATATAACCTCGTGCTAGGTAGCTTCTTAGGTGAGAGGGAAGAGTGGAGAGGCCACAAAGATAAAAAAGAGTACGGGAACCTCAGAAAGGTAACAGGGAATGTGGTGGCTTTGATCTAGACGATTCCCTTTGAAGGGCAAGGGAAAGGAAGGAAACAAGCATTTTTAGGAAACCTACTATGCACCAGGCATATGCTAAGTGCTTTACAAATATCATTTCATCCTCACAATAACCCTGAGCTGTAGGTACTATTATTATCCTCATTTTACAGTTGAGGAAACCAAGGCAAACAGAGGTCAAGTGACTTGCAGTGACTCAGTAAGTGTCCGAGGTCAAATTTGGACTCAAGTCTTCCTGATTTCCAGGACCAGTACTTTAACTGCACCACCAAGCTTCCTTAAGTGGCCTTTCTGCCTTCCTTCCTGTCTTATTGCTGACTTCTGTTTCTCATTTAAGATGGACTCAGTTCTTCATTCTAATGTCTCCCCTAATGTATAGGTTTAACTGACTGATGTTCATGATCTGATCCTAGGTCCCTTCCCCACTGACTGCTCTCTACCTATCCACAGGCACCCTTTTTGGTGCTTCTTTGTGGTCCTTCTCGTTGGTTCGCCAAGTGTTCCAATGCAGGTGCTAATGAGAAAAAGCTTGTGTATCTCAAAGGGGACTCCAGCCACAAACCAAACTCATTCACCCCAGCCACAGACTGTGCCTTGAATGATGGCTTCAAGATCTACCGGTAGGTCCCTGCCAAGATCATAGAATTTTAGAGCTGGAAGGGGCCTCGACATCATGTAAACCAAACGTGTTCCCTCTTCCTGTGGCCTCCTTTGGTGTTCCATTCCCTTCTGCAGCTTCTCCCTGATTCTGGCTAGTTCTCCATAACCTTCCCTAAACCCTAAAGCCTGAGCAGGGCCCTGGAATTCCACAAGTGGATAAAGCCATGCCAGAATCCAACTGACAATAATATGGGTCAAGGCTGATGTCTTCTAGCCTCATGGTTAAGTTCAAGCCACAGATCATCTCAGAACTCCCCGATGACAGTGTTTAGAGGAAGCCACAAGAAAGTGATCAGAGGAAAAATGAGGTGTTCCAGGTTATTGTTTCTCAAACCCAATCTGGGATCTACTTTGATACTTCTGTCCCTTAGTCCTCCCAATCCCTCCATGTTTGTCCCCTTCTGTCACGTGGTACCAAGCTTTAGTCAACACTTAATGCCTTGGATTGAGCCTCACTGAATGAGGCTTCGTCAGTTTCCACAGTTATTCCCACCCACCTTCCCACTCTCTAGTCATTACTAAACCTAGCCTATGACCCAGTGCATAGTCATCCAAGAAGCAGTGTTAATCAGCCTACTAAGTGCTGGGAATACAAATACAAAATTTTTTTAAATGTACCCTCCAGGAGCTTACAACCTAATGGGAGCAGACAACACACAAAAGGAAACAAAAAAGCAATGGGGAGGGGGAGGTACCCATTGAAGGGTTGTGGTAAAGAAGTCAGAGAAGAAATTTCCTGGTTTGGGCACAAATATTCCGCCTTTTGCCAAAAGTAAAGAGCAGGCCATTCATACCCCCTTTTTGCCCATTATTTTCAGACCTCAAGATGGTGATAAGGTCTTTCCCCCTTATTTGTCTTAAAGGAAGAGCTCCTGAGAAGAGTTGTCCCACAGTAGGAAAAAGAGTTTCTAGAGGGAGAGAGGACCCCATCCACACTAAAAGTATGGCAGCAGCAGCTAGATGACCATCTGCCAGGGATACCATAAAGTGCCCCTGCACTAGGCAAAAGACTGAATTAGGGACCAAATAATTCTTTTAAACCTGAGATTCTCCGTGGCCAGTCACAGCAGTGAACAATGAAATACACTGCAAGTTGAGCTCTGCTACATTCCATTGGGGGGGGGCAGCAAAGTACCAACTTTTTCTGGGGAGAGTGGGAAAGTCAGATTATTCTCAAAGGGCATCCAATTCTCTCTCTCTCACACTCACACACACATACACACACACACACACACATACACACGTACACACGCACACACTTAAGTTTGTTGGCTCATCCTCAGCCATTGTCCTTCCTGCAATTCCCCTGCCCAACACTAGTTACTTTAATTGAGTCTCGTGCCCTAGAAGTTGCAGGAAATGATTTCACTAATTTTTTTTTTTGGAGGGAGGAGGGTGGGCAGAGTGGGAGAATAGAGACAAGACCTATGATTTCATTGGTATTGGGGACACCAAGTGAATTCCTAATGGGGTTATGGGACCTGGACCCCAAAAACCCAAGCTCCTAAACTTTCCCACACATGCCCACCTAGATACTCAATAATCCTTTCACCTGTCCTTTCATTGTGGCCCCAACCCAGCCCAGCCTTTCATTATCTGTTACCTCTGGACCACCCCAGGCTATTTGCCACTCCTTGATCCCATCCAAATCTTCCCACAATCTTTTTCCCTATTAAAAAAGTCAGTCTTGAACCTAAAAAATGTGCAGATTCACTAGGAATCTCCCCCACCCCAACTGGTGTGTTAATAAACTACTTGAACTGAAAGAAGGCTTGAGTGGTCTAATTCTTTCTAGGCAGAACAGCACCCTTTGCCCTTGCATTTCAGGATTCCCAAGACTGAAACATTCCCTCTAGTAAGATTTTAGGGGGTTAGGCTTCCACAGCAGGATAAGAAATTCCAAGATCTTGTGGATAATCCCTCAACCAATCCAAAAGTATAGCAAATAGCTAGTTCCTTAAGAAAGAGCCCTGGAGGCTAAACCAGTTGCAACTCCTCAGGTTCAAGGACTGGACCTCGACAAGGCAAAGGCTCTTCTCCACTGTGCTTGCTTAATAAGCTTATTGAATATTAACTGACACACCCCAAAGGCGGAGATAGCCGCCCATTTTTGAACATTGGACCCATGAAGTGGGCAGAGTTAACAGAACATGGAAAAACATGCGATGGGCTGTCCAGGAAGGGTGTAACTCAGATGAACCAGACCAATTGTAGCCCTGGTGGGTGGAGTACGGATGTTACTAATGGTTTAAAAGTTGATTCTACCACTGAACCAGCGCCCATGTGCTACTAAAATTCATCATGCCCACTTCTCTCTCAAGAAGTATAATAAAGGTTTTTCCTTCACTCACTCACTGCAGTAGGTTTTTGTTTCAGATTTTTCTAACAATTCTCTTGACCTCTCAATCTCAGTCTCCCCATCTGTAAAATGAACATAATGCCAACCTTAGCTCCCTTCCAAGTTTATCATGAGGATCTAATAAGATACTATATTAAAGAGAACTTTGAAAAAAGTACTCAGTGAGAAAGGCGATGGTAATTTGTACTTATTTTTTAATTTAATATTTTATTTACACATAAAGACAATTTTAACATTCATTTTTTAAAATGTTTTGAGTTCCAAATTTTCTTTCCCTCACCTGAGATAGTGAGATAGGTTACACATATTCAGTCATGCAAAACATTACCATATTAGTCAGAAGACACAGACCCAAAGGAAAAAGAGAAAGGAAGGAAGAAAGAAAGGGGGTTCAGACTATGCCACATAATACACATAATAGGCACTTAATAAATGATGGTTGAGTGACAGACTGACAGGGATGGGGAATCCATCAACCCTTTAGGGTAAACAAGATTAAGGCTGATAAACCCAAAAACAGAATAGAATAATAGTCTGCCCTAAATTAGAGCTCTTTCTGTGGCTGGGGTTTGCAGGAGTAGTTTGTGGTCAGGCTTTTGGAAGAAGTCATAGACTCTTAATTGTGGTACAGTGGATAGAGTTCTGGGCCTGGAGTCAGGAAGAATCATCTTCCTGAGGTCAAATCTGGTCTCAGACACTTACTAGCTGTGTGACCCTGAGCAAGTCACTTAACTCTGTCTCAGTTCCTCATCTGTAAAAGGAGCTGGAGAAGGAAATGGCAAACTACTACAGTATCCCTGCCAAGACAACCCC